GGCAAACTGGCAGTATCAATGGGCTCAAGCGTGGCAACAATTGTGAGGTTGGCCCAGGACCGGGCAGTGTTTTATTCTGTTGTACATAGCGTCTCTCTGAGTTGGTACTGACTCGATAGCACCTAACAACAACAACAACATTTGTATATATGCAGAGAAAGATGTGGCAGGCAGTCTGCTTCCATCAAGATTTATAACCTTGGAAACCCTACATGGAAGTTCTACTCTGCCTGGCAAAGGTCCCTATCTTAGTTATCGAGTGTTGCTATAACAAAAATATGACAAGTGAATGCCTTTAACAAAAACAGAAATTTATTTTCTCAGTTTAGGAGGCTAGAAGTTTAAATTCTGAGTGCCGGCTCATGGGGAAGGCTTGCTTTCTTTGTCAGCTCTGAAGAAAGATCCTGGTTTCCTTTCAGTATTTATAGACCAAATATTCCTATGAGATCTCCATGTATGTTGGCATCAGTTTTTCCTTGGATCTAGTAACGTCACCGTGAAGGGACCCCAGGTCCAAAGGATACACTCCACTCTTGGTTCTTGTTTCTTGGTGGTAATCGGTCCCTCTGAGCTCTGTTTGCTTATTTAATATCTTTTATATCTCAAAAGAGATTGACTCAAGATACAGCCTAGTCCTGTAGACCCTTATTAACATCATAGAAGTGAGGCTTTACAATGCATAGGATAATGACAGCAGATCACACCATGGGCAGTAATGACATCATTGCATAATTATATTACATCATTACATAGCTGTTATATCACTGATAATCACTACCCAGTCAAGTTGATAGATTTTGGGGGGACACAATTCAATCCATAATTGTATCTATGAATTTAAATGGACTCAACAGCACTGAATTTGGTTTGTTTATGTGTACATACAATCAACTCTCCATTATCTGTGTTAATAAAATCCACAAACCAGACCAAAACCTCATGTTACCCAGGAGCACCAAACTCCAGCCCTATTAAAACCTTGATGAAACTGCTGAAATACGAAATGGAAGGGACTTGAATCTCACTTCATTCTCCTAGAGGTGCTAAGTAAGAAACAGATACTCAGCTAGAGAGAGAAAATGGAGAAGCAAGGCTCTTCAATCATTTTTTTTAAATAAAATTTAAAAAGGGCCCATCAGCACGACATGTAGGCAGTGCCCAGTTACCACCTGTGCCCCAAATACGGCCATTTCCACAGCCAGGACATTTCTCGGTCCTCTTTGTTGTGCTTCTCAGTCAGTATTTCCACAGCATGCAATCCAAGCCAGGCACTGAGCTGGTTCTGAGCATGCTAAGTGAATAAGATGACATCCTTCTATTCAAGGGTTTGAGTGTTCGAGGAGCTCAAAGGAGAGTGGAGACTTCCCACAAGAGAGTATGCCAGAATCCCAATCAGATAGTGCTAAACTGCATACCACAGACAAGTCCCCAGTCTGTGCCTCACGTCCCTGAAGTCTGGAGCAAGCAGAATGTCCACAATAAGGCACATGGTACAGAATGGTGCTCCATGTGTTCCGGGTTTGCTACTCTAGTGACTACTGCAAAACAGAAAGATTCGCTCCCCTTCTAGATTTGCAGGCTGCTGGAAACCAAAATAAGAATCATTTGCAGCTCCTCTCCCATGCCCCAGGTGCACAAAAGGTTTTTGCTCCACTGCTAACCAGAGGAGTTCTGGTGTGGCGCTGTGGGTTAATGTGCCAGACTGCAAAGCTATTTGAACTGCAAGGTCAGCGATTCAAGCTCACTAGTTGCTCCTTGGAAACCCTATACAGGGTCACTATGGGTCAGAATCGACTCAACGGCACTTAACAACAACAATTAACCCAAAGATTGGTGGTTCATACCTGCCCAGTGTCATCACCATGATCTGCTTCTATAAAGATTGCTGCTGCTGTTGTTGTTGTTGTTGTTAGGTGCCATCGAGTGGGTACCGACTCATAGCAATCTTATGTACAACAGAACGAAACACTGCCCGGTCCTGCGCCAACCCCACAGTCATTACTACACTTGAGCCACTCTGCTAATCCAGCTCATTGGGGGTCTTCCTCTTTTTCACTGACCCTCTACTTTACAAAGCATGATGTACTTCTCCAGTGACTGGTCCTTCCTGATAGTATGTCCAAAGTATGAGACACAAAGTCTGGCCAGCCTGGCTTCCAGGGAGCATTCTGGATGTACTTCTACCAGCACAGATTGGTTTGTTCTTTTGATGGTTCATGGTACTTTTAATATTCTCCTCCAACATCATAACTCAAATGTAACAATTTTAATACAGTCTTCTTTATTCATTGTCCAACTTTCGCATGCATATGAGGTTATTGAAAATACCATGGCTTGGGTCAGGCACACCTTAATCCTCAAACTGACATCTTTGCTCTTGAACACTTTAAAAAGGTCTTGTGCAGCAGATTTGCCTAATGCAATATATCGTTTGATTGTTTGACTGCTGCTTCCATGAGTGTCTGTCAGTTTGCTATAGTGTGATGGCTTACATGTTGCTGTGATTCTGGAAGCTATGCCACCAGTATTTTAAATAACAGCAGGGTCACCCATAGTGAACAGGTTTCAGATGAACTTCCAGACTAAGACAGACTACGAAGAAAGAGAGACTGATTACTTCCAAATATTTAGACAGCCTACTTTCAAATAAATAGCAGTGTAATACTGTCAGCACAACAAGGATTACAACCAAGAAAACCCTACAGAAGTGTTCTACTCTGTAACACATGGGGGCACGATGAATTAGAACCAACTAGATGGCAACAGGTTTGGTTTATTTTCGTTATTTTGTTTTTTTAAAAATACACCATAATGTCTTTTGATTCCATCCTTTTCTTTCCATTTCCTTGTTGTTGTTGTTAAGTGCCATCCAGTCAGTTCCAATTCATAGCGACCCTGTATAGGGTTTCCGAGGAGTGAATGGTGCGTTTGAACCACTGACCTTGTGATTCAAACCGACCTTTCAGTCCAGTGCATTAATCCACAGCCCCACACTTGGACTCATTCCATTTCCTTATAAATTGAAAGTTTGCTTACAGTAGGACCCTCTCGGCCACACTTTCCCCTCTGCAGCTCACCTTGAAAACAACTGTTTTCCTATTATCATATTGTTCTCCAGGCTAAAAACCCTCTATTGGGGTTCCCTAATGACCTCATGTTACACCCAATCCCTGATGTACCAACTGCCCCACCTGTATCATCGGCCTCATTTCTGATCTTTTGCCCCACACTCAACCTGTTCACATGTGGCTCCTCTACACAGTGTCTTCCTTTTCTTTTTTCACCAACACATTTCCTTCACTTCCTTCAAAGCTTAACTCTTCCCTAATTGCTCCCCTTGACTCTTCTGATTCCTTCCCTAACTTCTTTTGGCACCCACTTGATTTACCCTATATGAATTTATACTTGAGGATGGGTCTCTCTCTCCAAGAGTTCTTCTGCTGTTCTCTGCATTCACACTTGGCTCTTTCAAGTAATATGGTAAAAACCATGTGAATGGGTTCATACTCGTAGATTCTGTTTCATATTGGCCTGCACCCTTCTCTTTGTTTTTCAGTGTAAGAGAACAATTATTAAAGTAAATGTTACATTTTATTTTTATCATTGACACCGGACTTCCACTGATACAGTATCACTTGATTCTAACAACTTTGTAGAAAAATAGGACTAATGTTTTACAGTTTAGAAAGCACAGACTGTGAAAGTTAGATGATTCATTTAAAGACTCATAGCAAAGACGTGGGAGTGTTCAGACCCAGACCCTGATCTTTGAATCCCTCAGTACTCCTGTTCCCACATCTTCTTCCTACGCTGACCATGTGTCATACTTGGCCAACACTGTTGATGGGCTGAGAATGCCAATCAGCTAGGTGACAACATAACCAAGTTGGAGTACTGGTATGGCACTGTGGGTTAATGCACCGGACTGCATGGTAGGCTTGAACCACAAGGTCGGCGGTTCAAGCTTGGCAGTCGCTCCTCAGAAACCCTCTACAGGGTTGCTATGGGTTGGAACTGACTGGATGGCACTTAACACCAACAACACTTGTATAGAATGCAGTAGCCTAGCCTCTCCTTACTTTCATTTGGTATCTTGGATGAACATTGTCTAATATAAAAGTTATAATAGATGTTAATTTTCATTTATTAAGCAACTAGAAAACCCTAGACATTTAAGAGAGAAATGCAACCGTGTAGACAAATGCCAAAAATATCTCAGTCCATATGTTTTATTTGTATTGGACTTCTGGTCCACACTTCTGGTGTGGCGCAGTAGAATCAGCACTAGACTGTGAACCACAAGGTCGGCAGTTTAAACCCACCAGCTGCTCCTCGGATCACTTTGAGTTGGAAACAACTCAACGGCACTTAACAACAACAACATACATATATATGAAAGAAAGTTGGGTCTTCTCTAGAAGGCTAAGAAAAGAGGAAACATCTAAGGGACTCATTTGAAAACTTGCCACAAGGTGTTGATTGGGTCAGAGGTCAGTCTGAAGTCTCTCCGTCAACTTTTAGATATTGGTTGATATCCCTGCACTGCCTGGGCCTAGACAGGAATGGCCAGGAGCAGTGGAGGCTGGGAAGCTGAAGAACTAGGCTTTGACTGTTCTGCCTCTCTGTATGTGACCTAAGCCCCATTCCCTTGTCTCTCCTGCAAAGAGGTTGAATGAGAAGGTCCCTGAGGTCCCCTCCAGCTGTGACATTCTGAGAGTCTATGAATAGCAAGGACACAAGACAGGTGCCAGCTGATCACCATGTGGGAAGCTCACACCTGTCTCTCCTCAGTGCTTCCGCCCCTCACTTCCAGCAGTGCCAAGCTCCAGACCCAGTCAGGGTCGAGTTGCCAATTTTGAATCTGTTCAAGGACAGTCATGCTTCTGCATGGGGCCCCTTCCAGCCCAAAATGAACCTTCCTTCCCCACTCTTCCACTCACTCTCCCTTAGGCTCCTGGGATTGGTGGGCCACTAATTTATTTCTGCCTCTTTGCTTTTAGATTAAAATTACTCACAAGAACCAAGCGCCCATGATGATGGGGCCTCCCCAGAAGAGCAGCTTCTTTTCACTGAGGAGAAAGAGCCGTTCAAAAGACTAAACAATGTACCAAACACCAGAGAAAACAAGAAACTTTAACCACACACTCACACACACATTTACACACGCACACAAACACACTCTTCCCTAACCAGTGGGCCAAAGCCAGCCTTCAGGAAGAAAACCTTCACCTTGCCATATGTTCTCTTTTATTAATGGATATGCCCCTAACAGAGCCAGTGCCAAAAGAACATTTTGAATGGAGTTGGGGCCCACCAGGATCTGGTTGGCCCATGCATCAACCTCCACATTCCCAGAAGGACTTGAGGAGGACTTTCTAAGACTGAGGTGAAATCTCCTTTTCTTTCCACCAGCCCTGCAAGTTTCCTCATGGACGCTCACAAGGAGCAAGCTGCAGGTTTCCTGCCGATGGTGAAATCGGATGTGGCCAAGGGAAGGCACTCCCATTCCAGAGAGCTCGCACAAAGGTCCCTCTGTACAGAGACAAAACGGCCTTCGACGCACAGAACATAATCCTTGGCAGGGCCCAGAGAGCTCACGTTGGTTTCTTGGTTGTCCTTTGAGTGACAACTTTTCCTTCAACTTGCTGAGGAGGCAGAAAGACGCTGGAAAGCTGTTTCTACTCTTGGTTCTTTTGCTATCCTTGGGCACTTGTTATTTTCCTGAAGCTTTCTCCTGGTGGTGGTGTGTTTGTTTAGAGACGGCTCCAAGAGCTCGAGCCCCCAGAGTTGCCTGCACAGCCACCTTAGATGTGGTATTTATTTTCTTAGTTCTGTGAACACTTGGGAGGGGAAGCAGAGAAACTGGGATTTATTTTTCAAATTGGTGTCATAATATTGTGTAAAAAGGGAAGGGAGGAAAAAAAAAAAAACAACACCCCCAGCTTCTTTTTTTTTTCAAGCCAGAGCATGTTTCCTGTTTGAGTTCCAAGCCCTGGTGACAGACTATTCCTGAAGGCAGAGAAGATGGGACAGAAGGACCTTTTGCTGAGGAGACCAGGAGACAAACTATCAAACATCTTTACATTCTCCAGCGTATGACATGAAGACCCTTCTGATGGCATTGTGTGTGTGTATATATGTAGCATATATAATATATATATGTACATATATATAAATATTTATTTACAGATGAACTTATCCTGACTGAAAATATAAGTATATATATAGTATTAGAACAGAAAATGAGGAAGAAAAAGAAAGTTCTTACACTCCTGTTCCATTATTTCATCGTCAAGACACACTTCCCTGTAGTGACCATCAAGTTTAAGAGAAATTAAAGTCATTCCTGATCATGAAGAGACTGAGATCTCCTAATTCTGGAGCCTCAAAGCAACCATGAGAGACCATGGTGGGCAGAATTTACTCTCCCATTTGACAGATAAGGAAACTGAGTTCCAGAAAAGAGACTTGTATGTGGTGTCTTGGCTAATGTGGCATGGGAGTAAGTGGTACTAAGAAGATATTTAATAAAGAAAAGAGCTCAGACATTTTGGGATAGGGTCATGTCTAGTCACTGAAAGGTGATTCCATTGGATTCAAGTTGCCAAGGAAGAAGGAATGAGCAGCACATGTGTGGACAGGACAGACCCACATGAGAACACAAGGAAGGACGTCTCAGTGCTTCCCAGAGGTTCTCTGACCTCAACTGGAAGAAGTTCAGTGAGGTCAAATGCATTCGACAAAAAAATCAAATTAAACTCTTCATGTCATCCTCGTCATAGTCTCTTAGTCTGGAAAACATCCATGGCTGAGGAATGGCCTTGGTGGAGAGTCACAAGGAAGATAGAGACACCTTCTGCAAGGTGCTGAAAGCCAGGTCACAGGGTTTTCAGAAGAGCTAAATGACTCCAGCTGGTACTGCCTTTCCCTCCACTCCCTGGAGCAGTGTCTCAAGAAGAAACCTGGGCCCACTTGAAGTCACTCCACTGAAGTGACTTTAATTTCCTTGCATTGGGTCAGAAGCTTTGAACAAAGAAGGGAAAATTAAGATTGTGCGTAAAAATTGAAACTTACTCTGAAGCAAACAATCATCTTTCCAAGCTCCAGGACTATCCTGATGGATCTACAGTGCAGATCACTGGGCAGGGGAAAAGCCAAGCCACTTGAAGAATTATCCTTAGTGATGGGATCCTTGGTGATAAGACCAACAAGTTCCAGAATGACAACAGGTACAATCTTAGGAATCACTTGATTCTGAAACTGAGGCAGATTCAGGCTTGTGTCATTGGTCCTATGACATTTACAGAAGGTTTTGCATGTATTTCAGCCCTGATCTCCCAAAATTGAAACTGTTGAGACATGCTACTGTTGACAAATGAAACCTATTGTCAGAGATTCACAAATCTCATGAAGGCAGCCCTGACCTGCTCTACCCTAGTCCTTGGGACTTACAACGCTGCTTGAAAGGAATATCCCAAATCCTCCATAAACATCAGTGGAATTGTGTTTCCTAATTGGCAACCTTAGCAAGCCTTGTGTTGTTGTTTAATCTTACTTTGCAATCATCCCTTAAATTCTGTGACTGTGATTTCTTATTGTGTCTTATTGATTTTCTCAGCATCCTCTAAGGTGGGCAGAGAAGGTATTATTGTTATCGTAATAATGAAGACAGTAAGGCTTAATGAGGTTTAGTGATTTCTCAAAGCCCCACAGATAGTAGTCAAGGGAGAACCTAGTCCCTAACTCTTCATCTTATTCGGAGTCTGGAAGTACCACAGACATGTTCTCACCTTCCTCCCTGCTCCCACCCACTAGTAATAAAATCATGAAACAGGAAGACTTCAGTACATTGTATTATCCCTGGACTAATGGGTTGGGAGTCACATCTTATTGTTCCTTGGTCTTTGTTGGGTCACCCCAGTAAGCTGAAAGTAAAGATAGAAGTATGAATATATTTCATGTCAGAGACCAACTCTTCTCAAGAGGATTCTTTCCACAGATGGAAAAGATACATTAAAATTGCCAAACAAATTAGGAAATACTTGGCAGAACCTGGAAGAGTCTCCAGACTGGTGTTACATAACATGCACATACATTATACATATGCACATTATATAAGGTGACATAGTACTTAATGTGCTGTATATATTATGTAAATTACATATTTGTGAGTAATCACGATAAATATAGAGACCCACTAATCACTTTTTTACACATACTCAGTGACAGATTAGGAAATTACTTTGCCAGAAAGTCTTAAAACTTACTCTCTCCTGCTGCTTTGGTTCCAACTCCTGCCAAAAATTATTGCATCAACTTTTCCTAACTCTAGCCCCCTCTCCTCTCAGCTAAAACTCTCAGTTGCCTCCTGTCCCAGCTAGGCTGTGCCTTCCATGGAATGCTACCATAATTGAGGTCCACAAAAATAGAATCGTGGGGATGGAAAGGATCTAGACTCCCAGATTCCCTGTGTCATAGACCTGCACCTCAACACTCCCTGGCTGGTGGGTGCCTCATGCTGACATTAAAGGGAATGAGAGACAGAGGGAGGAAGGGAATGAGGAAGAAAAGGAGGACGAGTGAATCTCCCAATCCCCCAAGAAAGGAAACTTCAATCTTCCTTATCCACCAGTTCCAGGTTTCATCAATAATTAGGAAAGTATTTCAAATGTCTAGTTTAAGCCCCAACAACATAAACTGTAATTTCCTGAAATGCGTTCCACCAAACACTAATATCCATGAAAAAAGGGTTCTGTGATCAATTATTAGACCCCCGTTCAGGAGACACATACAGAACACATAACTCCAATAACTAGCAGTAAAGGAAGACAGTTGTTATCAGTTGCACTCCAACTCAGGATGACTTCACACACAACAGAACAAAACCTTGCCCATTCTTGCACCCTCCTCACGATCACTGTTATGCAGGAGTTCATTGTTGTGGCGAATATTTTGTGTGCCTTCTAACCTACAAGGTTCCTCTTGCAGCACTGTATCAGATAGTATGCTGTTGTAATCCATGAGGTTTTCATTAATGAATTTTTAGAAGTAAATTGCCAGGCCTTTCTTCCTAGTCTGTCTTAGCCTAGAAATTCTGCTGAAATTTGTCTATCATGGGTGATCCTGCCAGTATTTGAAAAACGAGTAGCATAATTTCTAGCATCGTAGCAGCACATAAGCTACCAGAGCACAACAAACTGTCAGGCAGGCCTTTATTTATCTGTCAGCATCTATAGATTACAGAACTCTGTCTTAAGCTCATCATAGGAATCTCTGGGTGGAGCATAAAACAGTTAAGCACTCAATTACTAGCAGGGAAACCCACCCAGAGTCACTTGGGAAGACAGGCCTGGATACCTGCTTCTGAAAGGCCCCAGCCTTGAAAACCCTATGGAGCACATATGGGATTGTCACACGTCAGAACTGACTCTACAGCAGCTAACAAACAACAAGCCCACCAATGTGTTCTCAGTGGAGAGGGAGCTTGCAGATAACTGTCCTCTGCAGTGATATTCCCAAAAGTCCTTTCCTAGGACAAGGAGTCTCCATTCTAAGACATTCTTTCTAATTTTTTCTGCGTAATTGTTTGACTACTTTTATTGTTACTTTTTCAAGCAAAGATGTAGACTCTGAGTGGCCAAGTCTTAGAAAACAGAAAAATTAAAGGAAGGACGTAATATTTATCAGGGGTCCAACTTGATCTGTGTAGCTCCATAGCCAGGCCTAAAGAGCATAATTGTAGAAAGGTTGTTTGTTTGTTTGTGTTTTCAACTGAATGACTCCCCTTAGAGCTGGTCTAACATGGGAGGGCTGCTTGTGGAGAATAAACATCCCACTTGCTCTTATAGAAAAATCTTCGACCTGCTGAGTGGATAACAAGGGCTGAAAGGATGTTGAAAATGTGTAGGCATCAATGTTAAATTAAAAGGTCTACTACTTCCTTTCCAGCAGCATATTTTAGTGTCCCTTGTTTTCAGAAAGAATGAAAAACAACTTTCCAAGAAATTTCTGTATCATTGGGTACTGACCAGATGGTGGTGGTGGTGGTTATGTGTCACCAAGTCAGTTCTGACTCATAGCCACCCTGTATAGGGTTTCTGAGGCTGTACCTCATTGTTAAGTTAGTTAAGAGCTGTCGAGTCAACTCTGACCCATAGCAACCATGTACAAGGTTTACCCAGGCTGTAAATCTTTACTGGAGCAGAAAGCCTCATCTTTCTCTCGCAGAACCGCTGGTAATTTCAAACTGCAGACCTTGAGATTAGCAGCTCATTTAATACCCATGACACTACCAGAGCTCCTTTACAGGAGCAGAAAACCCCATCTTTCTCCCACGCAGTGACTGGTAGACTCTAACTACTGACCTTGTGGTTAGCAGCACAGCTTGTAATCCACTACACTACTAAGGCTCCTTACTGACCAGATAGAAGAGACTTAATCTATGGCAGGTTTGACCTGACCCACTGACGACCCCAAGCACCCTTGCACCCTTCAGGATAACTGGTGGTAGTGTTAAGTGCCTTCGAGTTGGTTCAGACTCATAACTACCTTGTATAGGTTTTCCAAGGAGTAGCAGGTGTGTTTGAAGCACTGACCTCACAGTTAGCAGTCCAGTACTTATCCTACAGCACCATACAAGGCCTCTAACGGCAGCTGGTGGTGATGCTGGTTTTGCCTTGATAGTTTTTGAGTCATAGCACTGAATGAATTACAGTATTAAAACCACAAGGGAATTTGCATTGCTAATGGGGTTCAGATTAGCTGTTTGGAACACTTCTCCTAGTCACTAATATCAGACCTGCATCAGACAAGCAATAGCAAGGGAAAAGAAACTCTCATATCTCAAATACCAATCAAGTTTTAGATAAAACAAGATCGATCAAAATATTATATGGAATTTACATGGGGCGTTTTTGCTTTTTTTAAAGTTCATCTTGACATTCCAC